TCGGGGCCTGGTATTCATCATCGTCTTTGACTCCTTGTGGTAGTCCCTGGCGCCTGGGAGCGCCCTCACCGTAGTAGTAGATCTGGCATTTGAGCGGTGCAGAACCTTTCTCTCCAGATGTCAAAACTTCGTCTGCAATAGCCCCATGGATATTCTCAGACATTGAAAAGACTATAAACGTAGCTGACGAGCCGCAAGATGCTGTAAGCCAGGCATACGCTGTATGATAATCTGCCATCGTATTGCACACAATGATGGGCGGCTTCCCGTTCTCATAGACACGCTCCTTCAAGGACGGCGCCACCCAGATCGGCACCTCGTTCCCCCAGTCGCTTGTCAGGATTCTCGGCATTGGCCTCGGTCCCTGCTTGGGCGTAGTGGGACTCGTGGTTGTCGTTGCGGAAGAGGCGGCGACATTCTCAGTGGAATCATCTTTGCCCTTCCCACGCTTCGTAGTATCAACCCTCGGCAACATTGCTCGGATACGTTGTTGCACTTGATACTCGCTCAACGTGAAGTTCCCCTTGTCATGCTTATCCATAAGCTGACGAGTCTTCTGCAACGTCGGCGGCTCATGCTTGCGGCCGACCTTCTTAGTATTAGGCGATACCCCAGGCTGCACTGTCCCGCACAGTGCACTCATCGCCACCGTGATGTTTTTGATCTGCTCCGCCAGGTCGTCGATGCGCTTCCCCCGTCCGCGTCGAGCCCGTAGAGCACCTTGGCCTGCACGGCCGCCTGAGTGGCCTTCACCTCCGCCACCCAGCAGAGGATCCGCAGCACGTCCTGGTACACGAAGTTGAGCGTCTTGAACTTCAACAGCCCCGTCGAAGATCACGACCTCATCAAGGAAGATTTGGTGCCCTGCCCACGGGGCGATGTCGCTGGACTTGGCCTCGGCACGGGGTGCCGTCCCGCCATCACCACTCGGAGGTGTCCAGCATCGGATGGCAATATTGAGCACGGCCACAAGAATAAAGGCAGTGTAGAAGATGAACAGCCCCGTCACCACTGGGTTGCATGCCAATGCATTGGTGAGAGTGCACCAGCTGATCCCATTTAAACTGGCATGGAACAAGCTGGACAAAGTCACGAAGAGGTCCCCGAAATGCTCAACGAGCAAAGGATCTGGTGGCGACGACGCGCCCTTTAGCTGCGTCAAGTGGTTCTCGACGTCTTGGGTGAACATTATGGCAAATCCGTGCGTGATGACCGCCAACATGCACAGCGCCCACGCGAGGGATTTAAAGCAGTCCAGAATCATCAGCGCCAAGAGCCTCAGCTCGTCGAGCATGCGGAACATGCGGAGCACCCTCGCGATGCGCAAAACATCTTCAACATCTTCATGCGCTGCGCGACGGATCCGGTCTCTGAGCTGTAGACGTACAGCACGACGACGTCCGCGCCAGAGAGCACCACCAGCAGCGTGTCGAACAGATTCCAACGCCAGGCCGAGGAGAACAAAAATGTCAAACGATCGGCATAGATTCGCAATAGCAGCTCCACGAAGAAAAACGCACTGCAAAACAGACCAGCGACCTCGTACTCCTGCTTGACTGCTCCCGCATGGCGTGCGCTGCGCTGCGTGCTTAAGCCGATGAAGATGGCGCTGGTGCAAATCATGAGCCCGCAAAGGAAATCAAACGACCAATGGTGAATGATCTGCCTCATCGTAAGGACACAGTTCTTTCTGTAGCTGTCCCAATTCTCACGCATCAACTTTGCACGCTGATCATCAAACTCCTGCCTATGGCGCAAACGCCGCTGAGCTGGGGTCTCGAACACGGCCATCTCGTCGTCGAATTTTCGCGACATCCGGGGGGAGAGGTTCGTCGATGCCGAGTTTCGCAGCCGCAACACCGAGAACTACCCCGGAGGGTACTCACTCGTTGTGCTTGTCTTCATCGTGCCCATCTTTCCTCGCCGGAAGAAGGCCCAGGCGCGCGACGAACGGGCCATAGAATTCTCGGCGTCAGCGCTGGTCACCGGGTCAGGTGTGAAAAGGAAGTCCTGATTGGACTTCATGCTGGATTTCGCGGTCCCCACCGTGCTGCGCAGCGTGCCTAAGCTGTGCGTCGGTTCAACGTCCTTCGGCGGGAAGTCAACCCTGCGCTGCGGCGGGATAACCTTCTGGAAGAAATCGGTGTTGCTGCCCCTGTGGGGGGCGTGGCCTTCCTGCCGCGGATCGTCCTCCTGCTTGCCTTGCCCGAGGCCACTGCCCGCGGGCTCGCGGCCCTTGTCCCCAGCAGTCCCGTGCGCCTGGTTCGCATTCATGTTCGTATCTCAATCTCCGAGCTTCCCAGCTGAGACGCAGCTGCTGAAGCCATCCGAGACGAATCCCTGCTCCGCGAGCTCTGGAGGCTCCCAAGTCATGAACACTTTGCCGTCGGCCAACATGGTGTCCACCTTCAGCGGCGCGCCGTCCAGACCGCTGACCTCTACGTCCACACGTTTGACATTCTGCACCAGTGATAACCCTTGGAGCCCCTCGAGGTTGGTCACCAGCTCCCGCAGCTCCGCCATCTCCGCCTCCATCCTGTGCGCCTCCCGCCCGTGCTCGGTCGCCACGCGCCGCAGCGCGGCGTGGAAGCCCGAGGAGGCGAGGCGGCGCCCGAGCAGGCCGGCGGTCGGGTCCTCCTCAGCCATCGCCAAGCCATCGCCGAAGTCGCTCTCCATGTCGCCCAGCCGCTGGTCTAAGCGCTCTGGCGAGGGCATTGTGGGCTGGGGCTGCGGCATGGGAACTCCGGTGTGTGTGTGTGTGTGTGCGTATGCTGGGCATTTAACGCCTGCATGTTGAGCCTTGAGCCAAAATGGCTACGGACCTCTTGAAGGCCCTCTTGGGGCCCTCTTCGGCCATCTTAAAGTCACCTCGAGCCCTCTTGGGCCTCGCTGAGGCTGTCCTGGGGCCCTCTAGGGGTCGAAGGGGCCTGGGAGCCCGGAAGCAATGTTCCCGGAGATGCTTCCGGGAGCATGATTTCGAACGCGGCCCTCTTGGGCCTCCCTGAGGCCGTCTTGGGGGCCTCCTGGGCCGGCTTCGGGGCCTCTTGGGCCGTCTTGGGGGGTTCCGTGAGCCCCGCAGGCCGACCTTTTTGGGCCGTCTGGGGCCCTCTTGGGACTCTGATGGGCTGTGTTGGGGCTCCGCGGGAGCGTCTGGGGCACTGTGAAGACAAAGCCAGCGAGTATGCTGAAAATGCACGTTTTGTAAAGGAAATGGGCCGATGTGTGCCTCTTCAAGGCCCTATGGGGGTCCTCTTCGGCCATCTTGAAACCATCTCGGGCCCTCCTGGGCCTCGCTGAGGCTGTCCTGGGGCTCACTGGGAGCCCGGAAGTAATGTTCCCGGAGAGGCTTCCAGGAACATGATTTCGAGCGGGGCCCTCTTGGGTCTCCCTGAGGCCGTTTTGGGGGCCTCATGGGCCGGCTTCGGGGCCTCTTGGGCCGTCTTGGGGGGTTCCGTGAGCCCCGCAGGCCGACCTTTTTGGGCCGTCTGGGGCCCTCTTGGGTCTCTCTTGGGCTGTGTTGGGGCTCCGCGGGAGCGTCTGGGGCACTGCGAAGACAAAGCCAGCGAGTATGCTGAAAATGTACGTTGTACAGAAAAGGAATGGGCCGATGTTTGCCTCTTGAAGGCCCTCTTCGGGCCCTCGTCGGCCATCTCGAAGCCATCTCGGGCCCTCCTGGGCCTCGATGAGGCTGTCCTGCGGCTCAGTAGGGGGCCCTGGGAGCCCGGAAATAATGTTCCCGGCGAGGCTTCCGGGAACATGATTTCGAGCGGGGCCCTCTTGGGCCTCCCTGAGGCCGTCTTGGGGGCCTCCTGGGCCGGCTTCGGGGCCTCCTGGGCCGTCTTGGGGGGTTCCGTGAGCCCTGCAGGCCGACCCTTTTGGGCCGTCTGTGGCCCTCTTGGGTCTCTCTTGGGCTGTGTTGGGGCTCCGCGGGAGCGTCTGGGGCACTGTGAAGACGAAGCCAGCGAGTATGCCGAAAATGCACGTTTTACTATGGAAATGGGCTGATTTGTGCCTCTTGAAGGCTCTCTTGGGGCCCCCACGGGCCCTCTTGGGGCGCTCTTGGGCGTCTTCGGGGCCTCTTCAGGCTTTTGTGACCATCTGTGCGGCCCGCGTGGCCTATCGTGGGCAATTTGTAAGCGGCCCGGGGCAGTCCGGGGGGGTCTGTGACCCCCCAAAGGTTCGGGGGGGCCCCCATGGGGGATGACGGCACCGATGTTGGCCCTTCCCCCCCGGCCTACTCCGATATATATATATATATATATATATATATACAACCTACTAATAGTAATAGCAGTCGTAGCGATACTGCGTATGAAACTGGTCTTATAAACAGAGCGTCAGTGATACTGATAATGATAATGACGATGTTGATGATGATACTGTTGATGTGGATTTTGATGTTGATGATGCTGCTGCTGCTGCTGCTGCTGATGATGATGATGATGGCGATGCCGATGATGATTTTGTTGGTGGTGATGACCATGATACTGATGATACTGATGCTGATGACGAAGACGACGGTGACGACGATGATGATGATCATGATGATGAGGAGGAGGCGGATGGTGATGGTGGCGGTGTTGGTGACGATGACGATGATAACGATGATGACGATGATGAAGACGATGACGACGATGACGACGATGACGATGACGATGGCGCGGCGATGGCGATGATGATGATGCTGCTGATGATGATGATCATGATGATGAGGATGAGGATGAGGATGAGGATGAGGATGAGGATGATGATGATGATGATGATGATGATGAGGGGGGAAGGAAGGCGGGATGCAAGTGAGAGAGGGAGGACAATGAGCAGGAGAGAGGAGAGAGGAGCAGAAACCGAGAGGATAACCATTATGCCCAGGATAATGTAATACGAGGGTTTGAGGACTGAGGAAGGGAAAGGAGAGAGACGGAGGAAGGGGCAGGGGAGGGCGGAGCAGGGGGGTGGTGCCCGGAGGACTGAGGAAGAAGTGCGGAATGTGGCTAGATCGCCTGGGCAATGATGCTCTCCGTGATGGGGTCCATGTAGCCGCCTGCAGCAGAAATACCGAAGCTGTAGAAGCGGCAATGCTCAAGACTCCGCGAGGCTCTGTTCCCGCAGGCCCTCTCAAAGAGCCAAATTGCTATGGAACGTGGGCCCATCTCTCCAGCCTCTGGAAGGAAGATGAGCAGCATGAAGAGGGGATGGCGAGGGATGAAAAGCAAGTGGCGATGAGTGCTAAAGCAGGAGGACAGGGCTGCCCCATCCCACTCCCCCCTGCCTGCCCGCCCACGCATGATAAAGATACACACGCATGAACACACTGCACAAGGAATGAAGGCAATCACTCAGTGCAACCGACTGTGCCACTTGAGATTAGCTTGGGCTCGCGCCCGAGAACCAGGAGGAGGACGAGAAGGCGGGGCAAAAAAGGAAGAGCGCGCGCACTCGGAGACGCGGGGGCGGGCAACAGTGGTCACGGCGACGACGTCGCGCCGCGGCCTGGCTGCCCGCTCGAGCCGTTCAGGGGGGCATCGGGACAGCGCGAAGCTCATGCCAGGCGCATCTGCACGGCGGGTCCGGCTGGGCTCGCCACGCACACGGTGCACGTGGGGACGCCTGACACACACGCGCATGGGAACTGAGGAAAATCTCGCTGCACTCGAAGGGCGGAATGCGGGTTGCTCAGTAACAGGGTGTATGTCGACCCCTATCCCAGGCATGCTGGGGTTTTCGAATGGACCAGACATGTTGGGCCCACCCTCGGGATATAAGATGGGGGGCGTCCATCCTCGATAGGGGGTGCGTCCGTATAGCTCCCTTGGGGAGTCCCCGGGTCTCTCCCTTTTTTCTGAGCGGCCGAACTTTTTGGACAGAACTCGGGAATTGTGACGAACGAACAACACACGCACAGATCCACAGATCCACAGAGAGGTCGGAGGGAGAAGGACTGGCTATGGGAATGGGTGCGGGCTGTCGCACCCCTGGGGAGGCCCCCGCCGTCCAGGGTGCAGCAGGCAGCGCTGGCGGTGGAGCTTCAGCAGCAACATGTCCCCGTCGCCGCTCGACCTGCCCCCCACGGTGCTGGCCGGGGCGGGGGGGCATGCACTCGCGCCGCGCGCGCGCGCGGCAGCCTGGCCTCGCGATGCCCCGGCGCGCTCCTCCTCTCGGGCGCGCCAGTTGCTCCTGCCCTGTCTGGCGCCGCGCGCGCCTCCCCCCCGCGAGCCATCACCGGGAGGGCCCCGAAGCAGGCGCCGCCGAGGAGCGCAGAGGTTGCGCGGGCGCGCGAGCTGCGGGGCAACGGGGGGGGAGCAGGAGGACAGGACGCGGGACTCGGAGGAGGCAGAAGGAGAGGAGCAAGAGGGAGGACGAGCACGAGCACGAGCACGGGGGGGGGGCACGGCGGCCCGGACTCCGCGGGGCCCTGGACTGGGCCAGAAGTTGCTGGGCCTCAGCTCGGGGGCGCGGATCCTCGATAGAGGTGCGTCCGTAGAGCTCCCCGGGGCAAATCTCATGGACTGGAGGAGAGCAGTCGCCTGCGAAGGGGGGGTTAGCGTCCAGAGGCATATGCGCGGACGAGCGGGTGACCAAGGGACGCATTGAGAGAAGAGAAGGGGGTGCCAAGAGACCTGGCCGTGATATTCATACACCTCTGGTCCTCACCCCCTCCTGGACTCCCCCGATTTTCCGTCCCAAGGCCCCGCGCGTTGTGATGCAAACTGACCGGATTGAAACCGACCGCGCACTGACTTTCACATGCCCCCAGAATCGCCCGCGTCCGCAGTTCTGGAGCGCACACTTTGGACTGCGATGGCCCGCGCAGGCATCGACGATGCAGATGCCCCGCGGATCGCACGAGCTCTGCACCCCCTGACGCACGCCTGACGACGTGGGCAAAAGCAAAGACGCGAAATACAAAGGCCCCGCAGAGAAAACTGCAGCACACAGCAGTTCGTCGAGCTGTAAAGATCTCCTAACGACCTCGAGCTGATCTGTTAGCCAGCGTGGCGCCAAACCTGTGTTTCTAGCAATCCATGGTGTGCAATCGATGCGGAACACTCTATGTTGTGCAGTCAAATCTGTAGTGCAATATATGTGGTGCCTTCTACGTGGTGCCTTGTATTCGGTGCAGTATACGTTGGACAATGTAGGCGACGGGGCGGCGATGGCGACAACATAGCCGCCAGTCCGACTTTCAGGTCCAGACGACGAGCGGCGACGACGCGGCGACGGGACGGCGACGACGACATAGCCAAAAGACCGACCTTCAAGCCCACACAACGGGCAGCGACGAGGCGGCGACGGGGCGGCGACGGCAACTACATAGCTGCCAGACCGACCTTCAGGGCCAGTTTCTCATTGCACAAGTAAGAACCCCTAAATGCAAACATTAACTTGGGAATCTCAATCAGGGGGATAATTCAATTGACTGCCGCAACTGCGTCGCGGCCTGGCGGCCAGGTCATACTGACAGAACCGTCGCAAGGACATCAAGCAGCATATCCTTCATTCAACATATTCCCCAAACAGTGCTTGCATCTTGGGGTTCTTACGCGTGGTCTAGGAGCTGGACCTGGCTGTATGGCGGCTATGTTGTCGCCATTGCCACCCCGTCGCCGCCCGTCGTCTGGACTTGGCTGGCGGTTTGGCGCGTTTGCTATCGCAATCGCCACCCGTCGCCGCTGCTTCTGGGCTTGGCTGGCGGTCGCCGCGCTTTTTGTCGCCGTCGCCGCCGTCCGTCGTCACTGCTTCTGGCTGGCGGTCGCTGCGCTTGTTGTTGCCGTCGCCGCTCATTGCCACTGCCGTTACTCGACACAGATAACACTGGACCGAATGTGCACCACATAAACTGCACCGTATACATTGCACTGCGCAAGTTCTCCATCCCGAAAACATATTATGATCTACCCCCCTCCCCTCCCCTGGAATAACGGTACCCCGCTTCGTATTTCAATGTACGTATGAATTCGTACCATGCCAGGCAGGCCAGTATCGCCCCCCTCATCCTTTGCAGCAGATGCTATATGCGCGAACTCGTTTACCAGAAACTAGAAGGTTCAAACACCCCTTGCAAACACTGTGACGAAATGCACACACACGCGCGCGTCGTCGCGCGCATGCCGCAACCCTTCAAACACCGTGCGTTTCCATGGACGTCAAAATCGAATCTCCCAAACACATATCAAAACAAATGTTTCGGCAACAAGAGATGCTAAAACAACATGAACTTGTCCTCGGAGCTCTTGCGTTTTTCTGTTGAAAAAAACATGGTCTCCCCAACATTATCAGAAGTTGCTACCAAACAAGCCTCTCGCGCGAGCATGTCGGAATCGATCGAACGCCTTTGCGCGAATGCTGTCGCAAGAATCCCTTGCAAAAGACGGGACGAAATGCACACGAGCGCGTCGCCGCGCGCGCATGCCGGAATACATTAACCACCTTGGGTCTCGTAAGGGTTTCAAAATCGAGTGCCCCGACCAACTATAATCACAAGACAGCTCGCCGTTTGGGCCCCACCACCAGCCCAAACGGCGAGCACGAATCGGGCGCAGCCCCACACGCATTCGAATGCCCACACTTCGTCATCGTACTGCTCGTATTCCTCTCCGTCCTGTGATCGTTGTCGTCGTCATCTTCCTCGACCTCCTCGTCTTTCTTCCTCCTGCTCCTCTTCTTCGAGCTCCTCCTCGTCGTGCTCGTCTAGGACCTCGTCCTCGTTTCTCCTCTTCCTCCTCCTGCTCATCCTCCTTCTTCTGGCAACTCGGCGGCCGATAATACGACGGTTTCCTATCGGTTGGGCCATAGGTTGCGCCCTCGGCGGCCGAGAAAAAAAAAACAGTCTCTTATTGGTTGCGCCATAGGTTGCGCCCTCGGCGGCAGAGAATAAAACCGTCTCCTATCGGTTGCGCCATAGGTTGCGCCCTCGGCGGCACCAAATAAAACCGTCTCCTGCCGGTTGCGCCATTGGTTGTGCCTTCGGCGCCAAAGAAGAAAACCATCTCCCATCGGTTGCGCCACAGGCTGCGCCACTGGCGGCCGAGCATAAAACCGTTTTCTATCGGTGGGGCAATAGGTTGCGCCCTGGGCGGCCAAAAATAAAACTGTCTCCTATCGGTTTCGCCACAGGTTGCGACCTCGGCGGCCGAAATAAAACCGTCTCCTATCGGCTGGGCCATAGGTTGCGCATTCGGCGGCCGAGAACCAATGCGCCATAGGCTGCGCCTCCGGCAGCAGAAAACAAAGGAGTCTCCTATCGGTTGCGCCGTAAGTTGCGCCCTGGGCGGCCGAAAACAAACCCGTCTCGTATGGGTTGCGCCATAATTGCGCCCTCGGCGGCAGAGAATACAACCGCCGTTTCCCATCGGTTGCGCTCTCGGCGGGCGACAAATAAACTGTTTCCTATCGGCTGCGCCAAGAAATTGCGCCCTCGGAGATCGAGAATCAAACCGTCCCCCATCGGTTTCGCCACGATTGGCGTTATCGGCGGCCGAGAATAAAACCGGTTGCGCCATAATCGGCGCCTTTGGCGGGTGAGCATGAAACCGTCCCCGGTCGGTTGCGCCATAGGTTGCGCCCTCGGCGGCCGAAAACAAAACCGTGTGCTATCGGTTGCGCCATAGGTTGCGCTCTCGGCGAACGAGAAAAGACGCCTGCTATAAGATGCGCCATGGGTTGCGCCCTGTGCGGCCGAACATGACACCGTCTCCTACCGGTTGCGCCCTGATCTGCGCGTTTGGCGGCTGAGAATAAAGCGGTTCCCGATCGGTTGCGCCATGGGTTGCGCCCTCGGCGGCCGAGAATAAAACCGTTTCCCGTTGGTTGCGCCATAAGTCGCGCCCTCGGCAGCCGAGACTAAGAACGGCTCCAATCAGCTAAGCCATAGAGTGCGCCCTCGGCGACCAGAGTAAGAACGGCTCCTATCAACTACGCCATAGATTGCGCCCTCGGCGGCCGAAAACAAAACCGTCCCCTATCGGTTGCGCCATAGGTTGCGCTCTCGGCGGCCGACAGTACAACCGTCTCTCACCGAGGAGCATCCATTGGAACCACCACGACCCCCAATGTAGCCGCCGAGTTCCGAAGGACTTGCGCGGCAATTTTTACTGTTTGAAAGCATGAAGTGCTGGGCGCGCAGGCCCGCCCGCAACGCCCCCTGACGAGCATCCAATTTGAACCAAGCATCACCACGGCCATCGCCATCG